AATCCTTACTTTGCTACTACTGTCTACACTAAAAAGGGAAACATAAAAACTTTTTAACAAAAAAATAAAAACCGACTTCAAACAAAAGCACTAAAAAGTAAAAAATAACTGATTGGTAGTTTTCGTTTACTATACATACCTAATCAAATATTTTCGAAATCAGTGCCAGCCCATACAAAGCAAAGCACACCGACTTCGAAAATATTTGTTTAGGTATGTATAGTAAATGAAAACTACCAATCAGTTATTTTTTACTTTTAAGTGCTTTTGTTTGAAGTCGGTTTTTATTTTGTCTGGAAATCTTGTATGGGGCATGGATGAAGACATTTAATATGTACATATGTATGCAATCCATGCTAGCTTTTATTCTTGTAAAAAGTAATTTTTAAAATTAATTTTTAATTTAATTGTAAAAATATTTTTAGTACAATGATTTATCTCATAATATGTTAATTCAACAAATTACACGTGAGAGTCTGAACTCTACGTTGATTTATGATATTGTGCCGCCCTTTGTAATGTCGCTGATATAAAGCCATTAATTTGCTCCAATTTATCCCACAAGTGATATCACAATATTTATAACATCTTTATTATTTATAGAAACATTATTTTCAAATTATTATCAATTAGTGTCTTTCCGCAGTTTTACCTAAGAAACAAGGTAATTTTTATTAAAATAAGTTCAGGACTAAAATAATAATGAATGTGTTTTATATCCATTGTACGTTATATTTTTACTGGAATAGGTACTAATTTTATGTATTAGTCTAAGTTAAATTTCATTTAAATCAGTCCGAATACTTACGTAATAATGGTTTAGCTGCAAGTATTCGAATACCTTCAAAAACTTTCATGTTTAACAATATAATTACAAGTTAATCTATAGGGAATAATATACCACTTGAGTCAAGAAGTTATTTTTTATAAAGAAATAAACTTTTAATAGGTACCTACTTGATTTAGTTCGTCAAGAAATTATTTGCTAAAAAAATCGAAGGCACAATTATTTTATTTATATGTACATAGAAAACTAGTAGAACCTGCGGTTTCGCTCGCGCTAATACTGCAATGAAATATCTAAAAATAAAAATCGACTTCAAACAAAAGCACTAAAAAGTAAAAAATAACTGATTGGTAGTTTTCATTTACTATACATACCTAATCAAATATTTTCGAAGTCGGTGTGCTTTGCTTTGTATGGGCTGGCACCGATTACGAAAATATTTGATTAGGTATGTATTTCTTTTTAATAATGGAAGATTTTATTTACAAAAACAGTAAGAAAATATTTAAAAATTAATATGGATTAAAATTGGAACAGCTTATTTTACTTAGATCATTTAAATGCTATAATATCTAGAATTACCAGTCCGATTTTATAAACTCCTTTTACATTTTTATCGTATTTGTTGAAAGAGGTTATCATAAAAGGAAAAAGAAAGGCTATCAAATATCATATTATACAAATTATACATAATGAAACTACGCGGGCCGAGCCACGTGTAAGCGTCAGTGAAGTATTATACTTAAATAGATCTGGAAACAGCTGATGTGCATTTCCTTAATAATATTTTATTATCTTTAATACAATTTAGATATTTAATGAACCACTTGTCATTGGAGTATTCAGTTGAATACGTGAGCTTTTATCGAGAAGCATACGAGAACACAAACGAGGATCATATCTATGGCATTCCTGATCTATAGGCACTAATACTTATATCTGATAATGTCTGATATGGGCTTAACCCATAAAATCATTAATGTTTTGTTAGTTTTTTGTTCTGTTGTTTAGTGTTGTTTGGTTTTTCTTTGTCTTAACTTGATTAAGTTCGAAAGTAATGAACATAAAAGAAAAACATAGAATATATATATATATATATATATATATATATATATATATTAACTCCTTTTTAAAAGAGATTTTAAAGGAGATAATAAAATCTATACTTTCGGTATTTTCTAGACAGACATTCCTCCACTCTATATAGTGTAGTGAATGTGAAGGGAAGTGAGAGCGGTGTAGCAACGTTTGTTGGTGTAGTAATACAATATGAAATCTTTTAATTGCAGTAGCAATACCATAGCGGGTTTCATCTCATAATTTACTAAAAACATTATTCAAATACGTTTGCTTTTACATAATCCGTACAAAACGTAAAAATGTTGTTTTTATATCCATTTCATTTCGTATTTTTTCCACAAATATTTATACTTCCTCGCTTCTATATTTCCTCAAAATAGATAATCCTCGCGTACTTAAGATATTTACTATGTAAGCGTGACATATTCTAAGGATATTTTTATATCTATACTTTATCTATACTTCCCAATATTTTAATTAATGTGAAAGTGTATTTGTTTGTTTGTTTGTTTGTTTGTTTGTTTGTTTGTTTGTTTGTTTGTTTGTCCTTCTATCACGTTGAAACGGATTGACGTGATTTTTGTGTGGTAACTATTTAGTTGGAGGGCTGAAGAAAAGTAGCATAAGTCACTCACATAGGCTACATTTTATCACGGGAGATTATCTCATTCCCACGGGAAAACTTGTTATAATACAAGTTAACCCAAAAAAATATTTATGATCAGAATACTTTGAAACTTGGTATTAATGCTCTTCAATGAAATTAAATAAATACGTGTTTAACATTTTTCGAAATTCATCCTATAAAGGGGTAAAATAGAGGATGAGTTTTAGCGCGAGCGAAGCCGCGGGTTCTGCTAGTAAAATATATATCCATTCACGTTGTAACTCAAGATGAATATTCTCTTACGTTAGACTAAATTGCCTATATATTTAGTAAACCACTTAGGCACTTAACGTCTTAGCTTGAAAGTCAAGTTCCCACAGATCACAATATACACCTGGATATTACATATTTTGTTATGTTACAATCATGAACGAATTAGCCACAATTCGTTCATGGTTAGAATATAATATTAAAAGGAGTTGAGCGACCATCTGTTGCAACAAATAGTAGAGACTCGTCTATTAAATAATAATAGGTCGCAGATTCAAATAAAATTTTGAAGGGTTCCGCAGATTGAAGACAAATCAGGTACTAGCTGCATCCTAGTTTTTGTAGTACATTAATATGATACGATCCTAAAATACCTATGCCATTTTCCTGCCCATGATCAATTTTATTTATGAAATATTAAGAATTTTCTTCTACCTGATTTCGGTTGCGGAGGCAACTTCACTGGGAATAGCTAGTGTGCGCAGACAAGAATGCACTCATTATTCCTTTAACTTTCATATTCTGATACAACAAATATCGACAGAATCGACAAATTAACGTCCTCTCCGAGGTATGGGTGTTCTGTAACTTCGAACTACTACTGAGTATTTTCTGACAAGAAAACCCAGTAGCTATTTTGGTCTTTAGACTTGAATCCAAGACATTGCGGTCAGCAGTCGATTATGCTAGCCACTAGACTAACGGGTGATCATATTATATTTGTAACAGATATTACGCAATTACCAAATAAATGTATAACATTTAGGAAAAAAGTTATGTCCAGTTTAATTCTCCATTTCAGTATTCTTTGGCAGTGACAACAATAAGGATAAAAACAGCTTTACCTTTATTAGTTGAACAAAAGCTAAAAGTATCTAATCTAAAGTTGCGATTGCTAACTTTGTTTCAGGAGGCTCTTCCTTAGAGTTGGTGTAACGCTATAAGTTTTATACGTGAGGGATTCGGTTCTCGACAATAATCTTTCGAAGTCGTTGTAATCTGATGGATATAATACCCGATATAATAGATGTAGGATTAGACTTATGGTGCGTCTACACGATACAGACTTGGTACAAACTTTTGTCGTACGTACACCTGTACAGACTGAAAATTTCACATAAATACGTCGACAAAATGTTTGTGCGGACTTTTCATTACCTCAGATTTTAATTATTTTTTTTATTAATTAATAATTATTTACTGATTAATTTTTTGACTACAAATAACACGCAGACGTACATGTATACTTTCAACTTTCATGCATAGCTCCGACTTTTTCACGCATGCCTCCGACTTTTTCACTACACCGACATTTGTCTGCACTGCTATATTGCACAGAGAAAATTCTATAGAAATGTACGTAAGTCTGTATCGTGTGGACGGACCATTACAATAGAAATTGTAACTTCATTCAAAACAGTCACTATTTTGTTTTTTTCTATTGGAGGATAAATACTTATCTACCTATATATTATGTATGAATCTAAATATTGTATACATATTACATAGTAAATAAATATCAGGAACAAATGAAGCCAATAAATACGTGGCAAAAATAGCTATCACAGATCATACAATTGTTGGCCTATAATAATGTAATATCATAAAATATATGTAATATCATAAATCACTCTATGAATGTATAATAAATATTATTTGGTATAGATAATAATTATAAACTTATTTAAAAAAAATATTAAACTAATTTAATTAAATAAAGTGATTTTGTTGATCCTGTTGTTGAACTATTTTAAGTCAATTGATTGTCTCGGGTAGTTAATAAAAATGTGACACTGTCTTAATATAGCTCAGTTCTTAATCAACTTTTGTAAAATAAGGAATAAGAAAAGTGATTGTGTAAGTGTTGAAACGTGAGAGTAAATTCACTAAGTGCAAGTAACGTGTTTTATTGAAAAAAATCGCCAACCCAGAAGTTAGTGCCAACATTTCAGAAGTGGGATAAGGTGAGTAACAGAATTTTTTTTTTTTTTCTTTTGCTTACCTGCCAAGCCTACAAATATTTCTACATAATATAAAATTAGAAAGTTACTTTATATGAATTTAAAAATGTATTGTATAATATTCCAGTAAAAATATCAATTGTGTTTATGAAATATACATAAATTTTTTGTCTTTATTACTTTTCGTTTTTCTGTTGTTTTGTTGGATAAAATAACGTTGTTAATACGTGATACGGTGTATAATGTGTATAACCTTTGTCAGTCTAAACTTTTACTTTAAATTGTTGTTGTACAAATGATGTGTCGAAAATATTTCAACAGTGAAATGGGAAACGATGAGAGCCCCAAGGCGTCAGTGGATCGGCGATCGCGGAGTAGATTGAAGTCCACTAGAAGTCAGCGTCGTGGTGATAGCAGTCGCAGTGTGCGAAGCCATGCGAACCACCATCACCAGACCCGCAGTGGTCGCTCGCCCAGCCGACGGTCGCGCAGCCGTATGTGTGTGCAGTCACGCAGTCGCGCTGATCATCGCAGGCACAGTCGTGCCAACTACCGGACGCGCAGCCGCAGCAGCCACCGATCGCTAAGTCCTACCAGTCACCGTTCACGCAGCCGACCTGTACACAGCAGGGCCGTGCAGCGTGGCCATACTGAAACCAGCCAGATGCAACGGCAACAACAGCAAAGGTCTCCCCGACAAGTTTTAACACCAGACAGGTTAGTGCCAGAAACCTTGGGAAATAGTGTTACTCTTACACAGTTAATACAAGCATTACAAACTATAGGGAAAAATAATAGTAATGATAGATTACAGACACAAAATACGCTTCCAGACTTTGATCCCTCCCGTAAAGAACAGACCATTGATATGTGGTTGCACAAAGTAAATGAGTGTGCAGTTATTTATGACTGGACTGACAAACAGACAACTCACTATGCACTTCCAAAATTGAAGGGTACTGCTCAAAAGTGGTATGAAGGTCTCAATACTGTAATGTTTACGTGGAAGGAATGGCAAGATAAACTGCGCCTGGCTTTTCCTAACGATGATAACTATGGGCGATTACTCTCGACAATGTTAGCCAAACGTGCTAGGTTTAACGAATCTCTCGAGGATTACTTCTATGACAAAGTAGTTTTATTGAATCGTTGTGGCATTGAAGGGAAGAAAGCGGTAGATTGCATTGTATTTGGAATTGACGATCGTACTGTAAGGTTAGGAGCAGAATCGGCTCGATTTGAAACACCGGAACAATTGCTTCCGTTTCTTATAAGTACTAGGGGTACTAGTAATGTTAATGATAGAAAACGCGTTCGAAATACTGATTCAAGTGTAAGTAGGGATGATATCCGACGGGATCGCGTAATAATATGCTTTAATTGCTCACAAAGGGGTCATTATAAATCCCAATGCCCTAGCCCAATTCTAAAATGTACTAAATGTTTACGTTTCGGACATACTTCGGATAAATGCGAGAATGGTAGCAAGACTTTAGCAAATACCAATAGTAAACTTACATCTAATTCCGTCATGCTTGTAGCTGGTATTAACGCTAACTGTCATAAGTATTATAAAGAGGCTATTGTAAATGGTATTTCAAAAACATGCTTTATTGATTTTGGTAGCGCAGTAAGTCTTATTAGAATGTCAGATGTAGAAAGTTTAAATGTCGAATGGATTCCTGATAATTCGATACCACCTCTGATAGGATTTGGCAACTCAATGGTTAAACCAATAGGTAAATTTTTGGCTACAGTTAAAATTGATCATGCTAGTGCTTTGGTAGAACTGGTTATCGTACCGGATGAAGTACTGAAAGAGCCGTTGCTAATTGGTAGATCATTTACTGAACAACCTCACATAATGGTTGAAAAGGATAATGTAATGTTGAAAATATTCTCAAATGAAATAGCACCAACACGTATTAAGTATAACCTTAATTGCTCCAAAGATACGATAATTGACGGACTGACATTAGTAGAATTTAGCACAGACCCTTCATTTACGGGCGATGTTTATATTGAGGGCAGCAATAGGTTCAAAAATGGGGAAGAACACTATCTGGTACAAGGATTGTTTTCCATTGTCAATGGTCTAGGTATAGCATTGGTGAAAGGGAATAGTTCGCGAACATTTATTATTAAACGTGGTACAGTAATAGCTAGGTGTATTCGAGCTGAGCCACTAAGTAATAATAATAAGCCTGACGTTCTCCGAATAGACGTACCTACATCTCCGCGTAGTATTAGCAGTAATGAAATAATGTCCGATGGAACGCTAAGTACTAAAACAATTAATACATTAATACTCTTGCTTAATAATTACAGACAGTGTTTTGCTTTTAATCTACAGGAACTTGGGAAAACTGATTTAGTAAATATGTCCATTAAATTGAAAGACGATGAGCCAGTAGTGTACAGACCTTATAGGTTACCTGTTTGCGAAAGGAATAAAGTGCGGGAGTTAGTTAACGAATTAGTCGACTGCGAAATGGTGCGACCTTCGACGTCACCTTATGCTAGTCCCATAGTCGTTGTTAAAAAGAAAACTGGTGAGGTACGCCTATGTGTCGATTATAGGGCCCTAAACAGAAAAACTTACAAAGAAAATTTTCCTTTACCCCGGATTGACGATCAATTAGATTCATTAGCAGGATATCAATATTACACTGTCCTTGATTTAGCTTCTGGTTATTACCAAATAAGTATAAACGAAGAAGATCGTTACAAAACTTCGTTTGTCACGCCAGATGGGCAGTTTGAATTTAATAGGATGCCCTTCGGGTTAGCTAACGCACCAGCAAATTTTATGCGTATGGTCAATTTAGTTCTGTCTAGTGCTAGGGATATAGCATCGGCTTATATGGACGATATAATTATACCCTCAAATTCAATAGAAGAAGGATTAAGTAAGTTAGAAAAGGTTTTGCAGTTATTGTCGAACGCAGGATTAACATTAAAATTATCTAAATGCTATTTCTTTAGTAAATCTGTAGATTATTTAGGTTTTGAGCTCAGTAAGGAAGGCATTAGGCCAGGATCAAGAAAAATTCAGTCAGTCAAAGAATTTCCAGAGCCTTGTAATTTGCATACTGTTAGACAATTCATTGGGTTATGTAGTTTCTTTAGGCGGTTTATCAAAAATTTTTCGAATATTGCTAAGCCATTGACAAGTCTTTTAAAAAAAGATTCTAAGTGGGAATGGGGTTCTGAGCAGAAAACAGCATTTAACACTCTTAAAGAAATTTTACTGCAAAAGCCAGTTTTAAAATTGTACGATCCTAGTGACGATACCGAGTTGCATACGGATGCCAGTAAATTAGGTATTGCTGGGATCCTTATGCAGCGCGGGAGAGATAACCTACTCAGACCCGTTGCGTATTACAGTCGACAAACGACCATTTATGAACAGCACATGACAGCATACGAACTTGAAACTTTAGCTCTGGTCGCATCATTACAAAGATTTCGCGTTTACTTAATCGGTGTCAGTTTTAAAGTTGTTACAGACTGTAATTCCCTTCGAGCGACATTTTTAAAAAAAGATTTAATACCACGAGTGGCCAGATGGTGGATAACAATGCAAGAGTTTGATTTTTCTATAGAATATCGGCCAGGTAAAACGATGAGTTATATTGATGCTCTTAGTAGAAATCCGCCACTTATGAATAAGGAAAATAGTGAAACAGTTATGATAGTTGAGGAATCTGATTGGTTAAGTACTGTACAGGAATCTGATTCAGAAATACAGCGGATAGTTTCGATTTTAAAAGACCCAGGGTCGATTCGTATTGCCGATATCACGAAAAATTATGTATTACGTAATAATAGGTTATTTCGTGTGACTGATCAGGGTAATAAATGGGTAGTGCCAAAGGGTGTACGCTGGCAAATCCTTAAACAGTGTCACGACGATATCGGGCATTTCGCGTTTGATAAAACTTTAGCAAAAGTTAAAGAAACTTATTGGTTCAGTAAAATGCGCCGTTTTGTCAAAAAATATGTAGAGTCATGTTTAGAATGTGCTTACGTAAAAGCCTCTTCCAACAGAAAACCACCATTAAATCCGATCCCAAAGGTAGATTCTCCATTTGCCACTTTGCATTTAGATCATGTAGGGCCGTTCGTAAAGAGTTCAAAGGGGAACACTCATTTATTAGTAATCATTGACGCGTATACTAAATTTATAATTATCAAAGCAGTAAGAAGTACTAAAGTTTCTATAGTTATTGATAAATTAAAGGAATATTTTAGTATTTTTGGTATGCCGAATAGAATTATATCAGATCGTGGGTCTTCATTCACAAGTAACAAATTCAAAGATTTCTTGCACGGATTAGGTATAAAACAGATATTAAACGCAGTTTCAACACCTAGAGCGAACGGGCAAGTAGAAAGATACAATCGTACGTTGCTAGATGCGTTGACTGCTATGTGTAACGGCCAAGATGAAAAGAAATGGGATGTATATGTTCCAGGTGTACAGTGGGGCCTTAACAATACTCATAATAAGGGTATAGGAACGACTCCCGCGAAAGCTCTCTTTGGTACCACATTGGTCGGTTTTACTGAGAATAGGGTAAAGTCCCTCTTGGGTGACAATAACGAAATAGACTCTAATAAAGTAAGTGACATTCGTGATAAAATTAATGAATATATTTCCACATACCAAAGCAAAAGCAAAGAACTATATAATAAGAATTCTGTACAGCCTAAAATTTTTAAAATTGGAGATTTGGTTAGCGTTGCGAGAGAAATACAATCGTCAGGACAAAGCCGTAAATTAGTTCCAAAATTTCAGGGCCCATATCGTATAGCCTCAGTATTAGGGAACGATAGATATGAGATTGTAGATACACCTCTTACACGTAAGGGCAATCGTAAATATACTTCTGTAGTCGCGGTCGATAAATTAAAACCGTGGCTAAGTTATAACAGACCTGATGAAATTGAATCTAGTAACGATGATAATATTGATGATTCTAATTCTGATTGTTAACCCTAAATCAAATTTCGTTTATGACTGTTATAATAAATGGTTTTAATTTACTGTTGATATTAGTATTCTAAGGAGCTAAGTTAATATTTTTAAAGAATTATGAATGAATATCTTTAGAATAACTAATCGATAGTTCTGTGTTAATTATTAAAAGACTATGAAGGATACATTTGTTGTTAATTATTTAATTTGGGCAGTATGGACCCTAACAGTCGAACAGTATTCAGTGCAGAAGCGGCCTGTTGCTGTATTTTTAAAATTAATGAAAGAGATTAGTTGTACAGGGTAGAAGCAACCCTGATGAATGTTAGTGTTCAGTGCAGAAGCGGCATGTCACTGTTCGTGTGTCGTATTCAGTGCAGAAGCGGCCTGTTACGATACATTTGAATGGGTAGAAGCGGCCCTAACGATTTTGATGTGTTGTTGCTGCGTTTGTAATTTTTTTTTGATGTATTTAATCATGAAATGATGTATAAATGTTATCAATACGGTTTTTATATTTACAAATGTATTGTATTCTATATTGTTATGATAAAAGTTTTATTGGCAGAAGCGGCCCTTGAGATTTTTATGATTAGTTGTCATCATGTTTGATTTTATCAATTTTGTGATTTTTAATAATTGGATATTTATTGTTTTACATAATATATTGTTGAACAATGTATAATTGGAAACTATTAAGTTAAATATTGTCAAACTATGTAAGTTACATGAGCTACATTAATCAGTATAAATACATAATATAGCCTACACGAGGACGCGTAGATTTGGTCGGATGGCCGAATGTTGGCCTATAATAATGTAATATCATAAAATATATGTAATATCATAAATCACTCTATGAATGTATAATAAATATTATTTGGTATAGATAATAATTATAAACTTATTTAAAAAAAATATTAAACTAATTTAATTAAATAAAGTGATTTTGTTGATCCTGTTGTTGAACTATTTTAAGTCAATTGATTGTCTCGGGTAGTTAATAAAAATGTGACACTGTCTTAATATAGCTCAGTTCTTAATCAACTTTTGTAAAATAAGGAATAAGAAAAGTGATTGTGTAAGTGTTGAAACGTGAGAGTAAATTCACTAAGTGCAAGTAACGTGTTTTATTGAAAAAAATCGCCAACCCAGAAGTTAGTGCCAACACAATACTATTATAGATAAAACTATTCTTTTATACCTACATTGTATTTTATATTAGCTGCTTTACTTCTATATTTGCTAAATTAATAAAATCCTTTAATACTACAAATCCATTATAGGGCATGTCAAGGACCCAACTTTTTCTGATATATACCAAAAAAGCCTTTCGTGATCGCTCATTCAAACTGCTCTCATAGTTTGCGCGGCGATTGTTTTTGGCCTCTAATAAAGAGTAACGTCCCTCACTCATTGAGCCCGTTGAGAGTGCTTTTAGTTTGAAGCTATGTATACAAAACACACTCATACCAACTTAAATACAAACACTGTTGCCCTATCCACTTGCACATAACTCACGTATGTAACTAAATATGATTTTTGTTTAATTTTGTAGTCACTTGCTAATTTTAAGTTTTCGTAATAAATTTACTATTAATATTTAGTCACTAAAGTTAGAATATTTACTTTACTAATGTCGTACGTGCGAAAGTTTGTTTGTTTGTTAGTTTATCTTGCTAGAGCATTTGACATATTATGCATATATGTTGTATTTGGTTCGAAAACCTATATGGTCGTTCCCGTTGACCTAGAATCATGTTTGGCAAAATGCAAGGTCTAACAGCTCAAATAAAGGAAAAATTCCAAAAAATAAAAATAAAAATGTAAAATGAACATTAAACAGATTTCCTACAAATTTGTACGGAAACCTCGGTGGGCGAGTCCGACTCGCACTTGTCCGTAATGTTTTTTTCTGTATATTTGGTAGGTATGAGAATAGGTCGTAAAGTATTTTTCACCTACCCCCACCACCCATTTTTTAATCGCAATTTTAGTATTATTGTATGAACAATATCCAAATAATTTAATATTACTCGTATATAAATTCATAGGGAAACCCGATAATAATCAAACCCGATCGAAGCGCGGGTGACTGGTGAGTCGCTATATAACATAAAGCAAAGGAGTTTTTTTTTGAAGATTGAACGCGGGCGGTGGTTCTGCTAGTTTTTATACAGCAATCAATATTTATCAATATTTCGTGGAAATACATTTATAAATATAAAAGAAGAGAAGCTGGGAAGAGTCGCTAGTATAGTAGTAGTTTTGTATAGAGACGTAGCATTCGATGCAAACGGTCAATGTAAAATGTGGAATCCTGTTTATTCGCCTCCATTCGATGCAGACGTGTTTCATTAAACGTACCGTTGCGGAAAGTGCAGGAAGGGGGCTAATGTGTTCTATTACGATGCAATTTTTGTGCTCATTCACTGGACAAGGGCTAAATTAGATGAAGATAAGTAACATTTTCTTAGATCTTTTTAAAATTATATTTTTAAAGAGCAAAGGATTTGTTGGAAGTTGTTTTTATTGGTATTTTAGGCACTACTTATAATTTTTTGATTTACACGAATAATTGCCTTTTTAAATAAAACCACATTTTCGGATCGGTCTTACAACATTAAGTAATTTTATAGAAATAAACTTTACGAGATTAGATATAGACTATAGAGAGTGAACTACAGAACTTGGATTCAATTGGAAAACCCAATAACTAATAGGAAATTACAGGACTTTTAGGATTACATTAGGAGACATACATACGAATGTACATCTCGCGGCAAGGATGAAACGTGTGTCTCCGACTGCATAGTACTATACTCCTTCGTGAACTTGTTTTCATATTTTTAGTTAGCTTTTATGCAGTCGGGTTTGTTATTTTTATAATATATTTATTTATTTTGTGCTGTCATTTTTTGCTGCAAAAGTGACATGCAAGATTAAGGTGTGCTAGTAAGCAGTTAGCGCAGCCTTGCGTATATACTGGCATATCAACGGCATTACGTTTATGTTACCACTTTAGAGTGGCTAGCTTCAATTCTGCGGAATTCATGATTAAGAAATGAAAACACGACCCATTAATGCAAGGACATTTATTCATACACATTTATATAAACAGGATAACATTAAAATGAATATAAATACTATAATCGACATATCATTTTAAAACATAACTTTTATTGGTTATGTTTTATTAATAATTTGTTAACTTAAATATTTTGTAACACCGTTTGTTTCCAAAATAAATGATTGTTTTACAATTTAATATTCAATTGGGTACAGTTGCTCCCATATCTTCATCCTGTCCTCCTTCAAGTTGTGGTGTATAGTTAACTCGTTGTCTATACGCAAGTACTGACGGTTGTCGGGTAACATTCGAGGCCAATAAAGATGCTTGAGTTCGGGCAGCGTCCCTGCATTTGGGTTCCTGTGAAAAATAATGATGTTGAAAAAGAAATTAAAAAATACTTGTAACTTACGAGTATGTAATGCATGAAAAAATTAGGTATCAGGGGTTTGAACATTTATTCAAAATGTTTAGATGAGAGTAAGCTACGATATGCTTTGTAATTGAGTCATATCAAATATGCAAAGTATTAACGGTTCGACAACTGTTTGTCCTTTATTCTATTCTGCGAAAATATAAAAATACTTTTTTTGATCCGAATTTTATGTCTAATATACGCGATATGATAAAGTTTGCCAAATAAAACCTCGAAGAACAGTTCCTTCAAATCGACATTACTTTTATCTAAGTCCCATATCTATACTATAATAAAAGAGTAGAGGTCGAATGTCTGTACATAGCAAAAAAAAACTAAAAACCAAGTCAGGGGGATGTAAGAAGATAAATAGAACAAATCCAGATTTTTTTCAAATTTTTTGTTTCTCTGTCTGTCTGTCTGTTTGTACGGGCTAATCTCCAAAACTATTGGACCGATTTAAATGAAATTTTGCATGGTCGTACCTTATATCAGCGGTCAACATCTTAGATACGTTTCATTCCAGAAAATTAAAGAGTTCCCGTGGGATAGTTAAAAAAACTATAGTATCTTATACAGCTTAGTACACAACAACTTATGCACCTAATTTAGTAAACTTTAACATTCTGATACTTTATATTGCCGGTCAAACAACAGGTTACTTTTCATCCCGATGATCCCGATCCCGAAGAATGAACGGTTCCCGTGGGAACTAATAGGTCTCCATCAGTGTTTTTCTAGAGGCGAACCCGAGCGAAGCGAGGGTGAGCCGCTAGTTGTACAATAAAATCAATAAAGAGTTAGATATCTATTCTCTTCCATCACATAAATGTAAATCTAAATTAATTGGTTGGCTACTAAACAAAAACTTTGATTAAACGGAAGTCCTTTTGGTAACTACAACTTGAGATTTCATCTACACACACATATAATCACACAAACACACACATACAAACACGCGCGCTTGCAAACATACATAATCAATGTCATCATAACTCCTTTTCTATTTTTTTTATTTTTTTATTTTGTTCTTGTCATGGTATTTTTTTTGTTTATTTAATCAGATATTTTGAAGTTGTTGCTGTGCTTACTTTTGTTTAATATATGCATAACATTACCGTGATATGGTACATAACCATTAAGTTTTTTGTCATTTACGACGCTTGTGAGGCGGGCGCTGATAACTGCGACATAGTTAAATAGGTACTAATGTAGTTATTATCGTTGAATTATTTTTGTTATACAAGTACTAAATGTTTTAAATGAATGAATGAATAATTGTTAGTTTTTTACAGTATCTTTGATAATAAATAATTAAATATTATGGCTCAAAAATTATTACGTCTTTTATTTTTAAATATGTAATTTTGTAACTTGATTATAGTTGTATAACATTAATAACTAGCGTAGCTAGTAGAAAAACACTAATAGAGATCTATTAATTCCCACGGGAACAGTTCATTTTGCCGGGATGAAAAGTAACCTGTTGTTTGACCGGCAATATAAGGTATCAATATGTTTAATTTTACTAAATTAGGTGCATAAGTTGTTGTGTACTAAGCTGTATAAGATACTATAGTTTTTTAACTATCCCACGGGAACTCATTAATTTTTTGGGATTAAAAGTATCTAAGATGTTGACCGGAGATATAAAGTATCACCATGCAAAATTTCATTTAAATCGGTCCAATAGATTCGGAGATTAGCCCGCACAAACAGACAAACAGACCGAGAAACAAAAAAATTAAAAAAAAAACTGGATTTGTTCTATTTGTCTTCATACATCCCCCTGACTCGTTTTTTAGCATTTTTTTGCTATGTACAGGCATTCGACCTCTACTGTTTTATTATAGTATAGATTATGATTATGAATGATATTAATATTTTAATATAATATATCGATTGATGTTTAAATCTTAACAATTCTTAAAAAATATCACTATCACTTACATATTTCTTAATATTGATAGAAAGTTGGATATATATTGTCAAAATAAAAAATTTCCTTGAAGCGAGTATAGTATAAAACTTACCCATATTTCGCAAAGCTGTACCAAATCGCAGTCATTCTATCGACAGCGATAGCATCTCTTCCAGTAGTGCCAATGTCGGGAAAGCGGTAGCTCAACGAGAGCAAGTAGATCAAATCATCGTGATGTGCGACACCTTTGTAATATTTATTATACAATTTTATTTACAAGTGATTATTTTTTGTAGGTTAATGCTAGTGTTGTAATGTAAGTATATATTTTCCCTATGGACTCCAAAACGACTGGCGCGATTGTGTTGAAATTTTTGATGAAAAATTTATCTCTGGATCTACTGAGTAGATATCGATAAAATTTGGTACGCAGATTGTTTGACACCCTGGGAAGGACAAAGGATACTTTTATCCCGGAAAATATCCCTATAGGGGGTGAAAATTGGGATGAAAGTTTGTATTGGGAAGCAAGCTAGGGACGAACCCGAGCAAAACGAGGGTGAGTCGCTAGTTAATAATATATTCAGGTACGTACCTACTTTGTACCTTGGTTTTCGGCTTGTTTTTTTTAACAATGAATTATTTAGGATTGTAATATTTACAAATTATTATTAAATAGTGAAGTTAATTAATAGATTCAGTAGTAACGCGGTCGTTTGGGAACACGAATGAAGCTGGTTCAAATCCCGGGTCTCCCACCTCTTATATTTTTATGTGCGAATCATTTCTATCATGATTACTACTTATCTTACGGTTCAGTGTTTTCCTTCAGGAAAACATCGTGAGGAGTCTGAGAACCTAACAAGTTTTCGAAAGATATGTGAAGTTCACCCGCATTTGGCCAGCGTGATGGACTATGACCTGATGTCCCTTGTATTGAAGGGAGGCATAAAAAAATAAATAACTAGTGAGTTGCATTCTGTTCTTTGCCATTTACCAATATTTTAACAAATATGTGTAAGCTATCTTCAGGTATTGGATTTCGAGATAGTAAAAAAATGAATGTTAAATAACGTTTAAATTTGATTACCTACAGGTTTCTTGGTTACAGGATCTTCATAAAAGCTATGGTTCCCGATGTACGCGAACTCGTAATACCACACTGGCTCAGAGGAATGGCGGCAAATTAAATTTACCATCCTGATGTATTAAAAAATATACATTATTTTCTTTTAAAAAAACGATGTACTCGTAATATTATGGTTTCTTTTATGAAAAGTAGCCTATGTGTTATTCCGGACTATAATCTATCTTCGTGCTAAATTTCAAATCTGTTTATCCGTTCTGGCATGAAAGAGTAACGAACATCCATCCATACTCACAAACTTTCACATTTATAATATTAAATACGGATTTAAAAAAATCTACGACAAATAAATCCAATAAGACAGCGATTTAGCTGAAGTAGCAGTTATGAATTGAAATTGAAAGTAGCAGGTTAGAACTTTCTACATTATATAAAATTGGAAATGAATCCTATAAATTTGCAAATAACATCAAAGTTCCCTTATCTTTTCCGGATAAGTAAATGATTGGGTTTTCAGAGCGTTATTAAGTAAGTTGTACAAAAATAATGTCTTCGTGGTTAAAGAAAATAAACTTCTAACTTATAGAGATCTATATTATACCAATCAGTCATATTACATCGATGGTTATCATATGACAATCATATGTGTCTAAAAATAAACTTGTTAAGTAACTCACTTATGAATGGAATAACTCTCAATAGAATCTTGATATAAAAGTCCAAGATTCTCGGCACTTTCCTTATCATACGTCAAAGGTTTATCGTGAAGGTAGGCTTTACGGAGAGCACGAGGTGGTCCAGAGTCTTTCCGTGGCAGGAGAAATGATATGGGGGCGACTTCATCCCATTTACTATTCATAGTGTCCAGGAGGGTTTGGTTTTTCAAAACCGCTGAAATATAAGAATTGTATTGCTACTTATCCTAAAACTCATTTTACAGGCAAGAAGAGCAAATGTCACTCTCCTTACTTCATGCGAATATTGGGATCAAACCACCAATAACAATGTATGAAACTATTTTCTTGAAACAGTAATTTTAATATATTTTTCTTATTTATTAATAAAACTTATGTAGAGACTCCGTCCGCGTATTTATATTCTAATATCTATTTAGCCCACAGTTTCAAACGTGATCCCTAAATATAATACATGTGGGATAACAGACCAACAGAAAGCCAACTCTTAGTGTCTTCAGGCGTACCAAAGTAATGTTTGATTAGCTAAGTAAACCCTCTTTTCTAAATATCGTTAACTAAGGATAATCTATGAAAAAATAAATATACTTCATAAGGTACAATTCGCAGACTTTATAATAAGAAGCTATGTAAAAATATGAGAAGTTACACTTACTGAATGCCTTCCAAAAGAATTCATCTGTTGTTTGACTGACAATGATGGGGACGGCGTGTATTTTGCCTTCTTGGACGGAGACTATTGGGTCCACAGTTAAAAAACTTTCTTGTCCAAAATCCTTCTCTATAACCGGAGCCCATATAATTAGTGGATCACGTCCGAATTCCTAAAAGTGTATTAAAAATTAAATTAAAATAATATACTATACTAATAATTTAAACGAATGCCAGGAGCAACTAATAATAAAAAAAAATCTTTTGAAGCAAATATATTTCTTTGAATTGTTGTTTTTTTTTTACCTTTCGAAGAATTTGAACATTTGATAACTAGAAGCTGTGTCTATGAGTTAATTCAATTCAAAGTTGAAAGAAAAATTAGCGAATTTAGCGTATTGTTCTTAGGTATGCTTTAAAGTATCGTACGTCAAAACAAAAAAAAACAGAAAATTAAATGAAATATATAAAAAAAGGCTCGATAAAAAGAATACAATTATATTATATTTATTATAAAATAACTTACGTAGAAACCGTTCAAGGAATAAGCTATATCTCTCCAATGCTTAGTTCTTAAGCAGTCTACTATAACTGTGGAGTTAGCGGTGGGACAGTTCAAGAGCTCAGCTTGTCTCACAGCTAAGTGGTATAAGTTATCTCGAGGCGGCGTAACTTTGAACGGCGATCCACTCATTGAAATTGCTCGATGAAATAGACCTAAAAGTTTAAATTATCTATACATAAGTCGACAATATTTTAGTGAATAGAAGAATTAAACAACGATGTTCTCCTCTTTCCATTTCTTAAAAAAATGACTATATATGATATTGATTATTTTATATTCTGTAATGACTTTATGTAATTCGACAGCTGAATCCAAAATAAATTCTGAGCAATGAAGTATGTTCATAAATCAATTATAGTCTGATATTTAATTCCACGGAAATATGGCAGTTGTTCTGTTAATTCTTTGACAATTCAGATATCATATAAGGTATCATGTAAGGTAATTGGTGCAATTTTAATTTTGTTAATTGTGGGTAGGCTGTCTGTAACAACTATACCTTCGAGACATGTAACACCTCAGTCTCTCCCGTGACCATGAATGCTGTAAAGCATTCGAAACGTCGGGAACCAAAAATCCAAATAAATCCGCGAAAAAATCCGAAAAGATAGTTTTATTTAAAATGTCAAATATTCGCGTAAATCTAAGAAAGTGTTATGCTTGTTTTCAGTTATAGAGGAAGAGCCCGTGAACGCCAGACCTTCGTCATTTTATAAGGGCTGAAAGTTTGTCAGCGCATGCTCCCAACACAGATAAGAACGATGGACCATTATGAAGTTCAGGCTATGGTGGCTTTGGCAGGTACACGGTACTAAAGGTGTGTAAAATACCGATCTAAATTCGTCAAATAATAAAGTGTGATTTTTTGGTATATTATTAAAAATCACGTCATTCAATGCCAGACACTTAACATCGTGGCAAACCCTTGCCAGACACCCTTTTCATGAAATCAAAATTCTGCTTACGTTATAGTATAAAAGTCGATTTTTATATATAATACTTGGGTAATAATTAGATGATTTATAAGACTGCTAGCATAGCCTTTATTACACATGCCTTGCCTTTATTCATAATGGTCCATCGTTCTTATCTGTGTTGGGAGCATGCGCTGACAAACTTTCAGCTTTTATAAAATGACGAAGGTCTGGCGTTCACAGGCTCTTAGGCTATTACCTTTTAGTGTTAGAAAATAAAATAATAAAAGTTAGTATTCAGTTCTTTTTTAACGTCCAACATCTGGGCACAGGTCTTCTTTCAATACGAGGGGGATCAGGCTACAGTCCACCACGCTGGCTAAGTGCAGGTTGGCGGACTTCACATTCACCTCACTTCTTTCGAAAACTTGCTAAGTTCTCCCAGACATGCAGATTTCCTCACGATGTTTACCTTCACGGTACGACAAGTGGTAATCATATTGGAAATGATTCGCATATGATAATATCAGAAGTGCGAGACCCGGAATTTGAACCCGCTTCACTCGGTTTCTCAAGCGAGCGTGCTACCACTGGGAATAATATATTCACAATAATAATCAACATATCTATATTATTATTGGAAAGATACTGCTAAATGAAAGTAGTAAAGTACCCTTAGACATAGGTGATATTATATGCAGCATGACACTTCTAGAACCGGCGCTGTAGCCCGTGAGGGTGACGCTGTGGGGGTCTCCACCAAACGCTGCGATGTTCCTCTGAACCCACTTCAAAGCTGCTACTTGGTCTTTAAGCCCGTTATTTCCTGGTGCCAATTCATCCCCTGTGCTTAAGAAACCTAAATTGTGAAATATATAATTAGTAAAGCAAAAAAATAAATTGATGTACCTATAGCTCACTTTTTTATTAGTCTGTTTGTATGCTTTGATTGACGACACGTTTGGCTCAGTTTGTCCTATTTTTTGTGCCAGCGATCGCGGGTTTGTGTACCACTGGGGCATTCATTTGTGTAATGAGATCGAATGTTTATGCTCCAGCCATGGGTGTTTATATTTATAATATGTATGTATTTAAAGTCATATATGCGTAGTATATCAACTATCTGGTATCCATAACACAAGCTTCGTAGCTTACCATGAAACTAGACGATGCTGTGTGTTAATGTCCAACATATTTGTTTATTACTTATTATTTATTTATGTTATATGTGTATGTAATGTTCTCCGGAGACTCGATGTAGCAAAATGGATTGTGCATGGTTCTCTAAAATATCAATATTTACTAACCAAGAGTTCCAAGTCTATAGTTAATAGTGACAAGCACAAGGTCTCGATCCAGAAGATAGTGCGGTCCCGCCCGGTCGCTCCGTCCCGTCATGGAGTAGAAACCACCAGGGTGAATAAACATCACTACAGGTAGCGGCTCCTTTCTGTAATATGAAAGTAAAAGCTTAGGTATATCTGTGTACTGTCTTAGATTTCTTGTATTCGTTATAAAATATAATAACCGACTACAAACAAAAGCACTAAAAAGTAAAAAATAACTGATTGGTAGTTTTCATTTACTATACATACCTAATCAAATATTTTCTAAGTCGGTGTGCTTTGCTTTGTATGGGCTGGCACCGATTTCGAAAATATTTGATTAGGTATGTATTTAATAGGTAGGCTTTAATTACTTAGCCAAAGTACACCGACTTCGAAAATATTTGATTAGGTATGTATAGTAAATGAAAACTACCAATCAGTTATTTTTTACTTTTTAGTGCTTTTGTTTGAAGTCGGTTTTTATTTTTTTGTAAAAAGTTTTTATTTTTCCCTTTTTAGTGTACACAGTAGTAGCAAAGTAAGCATTCTAACGTGTTAGGCTTGTCAAATCAAACAAAATAAGCCCAAACTCAAAGTATCTACTATTAGCCGTTGAAGAGTTCCACCTATCCACCTTCTGGCCTTACCATCAGATCAGGTCAATAATACCGAACCACTGTACTATCAACGGAAATAGAAACACTTGCAAATTTAAAGTTAATATGACAATTAGAAGTAGGTTAAATTCATCATTAGCTATTTTTCCTTAGGGGTGGTATTTATACCCTTTCAAACAACACAAAAATTGTCCAAATCGGTTAATAAATGACGGAGTTCTGAGGTAACAAACATAAAAAAAAAACAGTCGAATTGAGAACCTCCTCCTTTTTGAAGTCGGTTGAAAATAGGATTTTGGCGATCTAAATATTTAAGTAAATTTAGAAATATATATATTCAAATTTTGTTAAAAATATGAGTGATAATGTTTAATGATAATTTAGTGATAATTCTTTTATATCATAGAGGAAGGAACTGTCGTCTGTAATACAGGCTCGGCCTAGTAGTGACAAACCAAACCAAACTAGCAGTGACAAACCGATGTAAGTAGCATAAGTTGTAATAAGCTTTATTTTGCGCTTAGTGTAAATTTAATGTCAAAACTTATTGCTAATAAACTTTTATTATTATTATTATTAATTTAATTTAACAAAATATAATAATATACGGTAACAGTAACGTGGTGGTTGTAAAACCCAAATGAAACGATTTTTTTTTCACATACATGGATTCAAATAAGTAAATGGTGAAAACTGAAAGAATGATAAGTCGTGGTGGTGGTATCAAAGGACAGCTTTTTGACATCCCACTCCATCATGCTGGCGAAGTTCGGCTTGGCGGACTGCACATGTTTTACAAAAACTTCCTAATTTCTTTCAGACACTCAGGTTTCCTCACGATGTTTCCCTTCACCGTAAAACAAGTGGTAATCATGTTGGAAATGATTCGCACATGAAAATTTCAGAAGTGCTAGATCCTGGATTTGAAGCCGCTTCGCTTGGTTTTCTAAGCGAAATTACATTGTGCATATTATTAGGTTTTTACGTCGATTCCCATTCACTGTCTCGAAGGAACAGTTTGTTTATTTTGAGATAATCTACATTGGAATTATAATTCGTCTAGATGTTTTCGAAAACTATTCGAAAAATACAATTACCATTATATGAGTATCGTATCTATTCTATACATATAATAATATTGTAACTAAACCGAATCTGTACATTAAATATTTTTTGGAAAATCTTATTGAAATAAACATTATTATCGATATAGAGTCCGAATCTATAATTTTTTGAATTTGTGTCTGTCTGCCTGTTACCGCATCACAGAAAAACCACTGGAGAGATTTTGATGAAATGTAGTATGGTGATAGCTGGTTATCCGGGTCAACATATAGGATACTTTTTACCGCGGGAAAATATCTCCTTTCTGAGAAAAAATACAAAAACTGCAATGTCTCTTACATTGCAGTTTTTGTATTTTATTTTATACTAATACTAGCGGCTCGCCCTCGCTTCGCTCGGGTTCGTCTCTAGAAAAACACTAATAGAGGTCTATTAGTTCCTACGGGAACCGTACATTTTCCGGGATAAAAAGTAAGCTATTTGTTATTCTGATGTATGACCTATATTATTGTAAAGTTTCATCAAAATCCAATCAGGAGTTTTTGTGTACTAAGCTGTATAAGTTACTATAGTTTTTTGACTGTCCCACGGGAATCCTGAACGCGGGTGGAGCCGCGGGCAAAGCTAGTTCTCAAGTAAAATGTAATTATCGTAATTTGGCCATGAAAATGTAACAAAACATGTAAACAGATAAATTAATTATAAATAATTAATTATGAAATAATATATTGTTTTTAACACATACCTATCATTTTTAAGGGGAGTGTACACGTTGATGGTAAGGCAGTCTTCATCAAGGTAGTACCCTGTGGTCGCTGGCATGGGACACGCGGGGCCATCTTTACTCGCATCTACTGGAGCCTTGTATTCAAGTATAAGTTTTGGAGGCTAAAAAATATAAATTTACTTAAGTAGATAACAGACAAGGATTGATTTATTCGGATTTTAATACTATGTTTATCAACTCAAGTATTATCAATTTTCGTAAATGAGTTATAGTATCCTGACGTTAATCGCATCTTATAGACATTGGAATACAGTTATAAATAAGGCTTTTTATGATTATGTTAATTACAATTTGAGTTGTCAAAATCAAAAGACACATACTAACACTTGTGAAATTTTAAGCAGTATGAAGTAATGTACCTTTTTTTAACGTTGGGAAATGCATTTACCCCGCATGGTATAACGCCCACCGAAGAGGGACATCTCCCACCGCTCACCGAAGAGGGCCTTCTCCCACCGCCCACCGAAGTGGGCTACCTCACTGTGCGTTTCTTGGCTTCGCGCTCGGCTGGATTGCCGGGCACTACTGAGCAACCCCACCACGACAAGGTGAACGCACATTGGGGGGATGAAGTAACTACAGCTCATCATCATCGATTTAATTAGTTAAATGCAATCACTAAAATCGGTTGTATCTACTGGATAAATAACTACCTTGTTTGCTTGTTGGCTGTGTGCTATGTGCGACTAAAGATTAAGGTTTTCGAGTTCGACATCGGGCCAATAAATTTTGTGCTGTCAGCATATTACCTTTTTAATGACAGTCCGCATCGAGTAACTCCCTCAGTGGTCCTCGGTGGATCTGGAAGTCCTGATATCCAGTCCTTGATCGAGCCAAGCTAAGCGTTTATTGAGCTTTTCTCTCAAGATATTTTCAGTAAAAGTCCAAAGTTATGTTTACGATGTGTTTACATGAACATTTACACTATAATATCTCCTGCACACACGGCTAGCCTCAGTGTGATATGCTTATCGCCTTTGCCAAAATCGGTCAGAATCACATCATTACTTCAGAAATAGTTCCACATACCTGAAATCTCAGATCTTCAACTGGCGGCTCTGCGTAACGTATGCCGCGGTAAGACTCGAAGGTGCGACCTTTCCGCGTAACATTGTACCCCCCACGAATCTCACCAGATGGCGTCACAGTAACCGGCTGTTCAACTGACATGATATATTTATGTTAAATATAATAAAATAATACAATTTTACTATATATAAAAAGTATACAGTTTTACAAAAAATACGCGCTCGCTTGGGAAATCGAGTGAAGCGGGGTTTAAATCCCGGGTCTCGCACTTCTGATATTTTTTAAATATTAATTTGCGAACCACTTCCAATACCATTACCGCTTTTCTTACGGTGAAGGAAAACATAGTGAAGAAATCTGCATGTCTGACAGACCTTAGCAAGTTTTTTGTGGATAAAAAAATAATAAGATAACATTTTTTAAATTATTTTAAAACAAAATGAGCTGAGAGGCTCATATTTTGTACGCTTATTAACTTAAAAGAAATTTCCTTCTTGTACAAAATAATTAATTGCGTGCGAATAAACTGATAAAAACAAGTGATACTTGGCATAAATATTGTTTAATCAACACCTCCAGGTAAATATCTAAGAAATTAATAAAAATTCTAAGAAATCTATTGTTAACTGATACGCCGGCGTGTCAGTTGTCATACCAAATTTCATAAAAATCCCTCCAGTGGTTTTTCCGTGATGCGGTAACTGAGAGACCGACAGACAGACAGACAGACAAAACTATAAACTATAGATTCGGCCTCCATATCGATAATAATGTCTATTTCGATAAGATTTTCCAAAAAATATTTAATGTACAGATTCGACTTAGTTACAATTTTATTATATGTATAAATATCGAACTATCGCCAAAAAGGTTTTATATACGAGTATATGCGCTTCTAAGATTTTTTTAATTCGCCCTAGTATTTAGTACCTACCGAATAATGTAACATTACGTAAATCTGTGATTTTAATGTTATAGTTATTTAAAAAAAAAGTTTTTTTTAATGACAATAAAGGAAAAAAGATAAACACAACAGTTGAACTAATGTGATGTTTACTTTGCAAAAAATATATCGTATTTCTTTTACACTTCGAAATGTGCTATTACAATTGTTTTATATAAATAACCTATAACTCTTATTTATAAGCCATTTTTATATACTTACTTATATAAAAAATATATTACTTTTAAACATTTTTATATATTAAATTACCTACCTTGGTAAGTATTTCCATGGAGCTGAAGACACGACACGCTCGATATAAGTAACAGTGCAGCTAAATGCATCTTTATCGACTAACAGGAAAATACACAACAGCATATTTATACATCATATGTACGTGTATGTATATATATGAGTCAACGTGAGATGTTTTCAATTCTGACTTGTTTTACAATTTTTCCTTTATTGTAAATGCTTGTGTTCTTATTTCATTTATATATGTAAGAGTGCCTAGATTTAAGTGAATGATTCTAAAGAAGTCTTAAGACAATTTCTAGGCAAGAATGTTTATAAAAATCGATTTTCAACCGACTTCAAAAAGGAGGAGGTTCTCAATTCGACTGTATGTTTTTTTTTTTTTTTTTTTTTTTTTTTTATGTTTGTTACCTCAGAACTCCGTCATTTATTAACCGATTTGGACAATTTTTGTGTCGTTTGAAAAGGTATACTTCCAGATTGGTCCCATTTAAATTTAAAAAAAAAATACCACCCCTAAGGGTGGAAAAATAGCGAATGATGAATTTAACCTACTTCTAATTGTCATATTGACTTGAAACTTTGCAAGTATTTCTATTTCCGTTGATAGTACAGTGGTTCGGTGTTCTTGACCTGATCTGATGGCAAGGCCAGAAGGTGGATAGGTGGAACTCTTCAACGGCTAATAGTAGATACTTTGAGTTTGGGCTTATTTTGTTCGATTTGACAAGCCTAACACGTTAGAATCCTTACTTTGCTACTACTGTCTACACTAAAAAGGGAAAAATAAAAACTTTTTAACAAAAAAATAAAAACCGACTTCAAACAAAAGCATTAAAAAGTAAAAAATAACTGATTGGTAGTTTTCATTTACTATACATACCTAATCAAATATTTTCGAAGTCGGTGTGCTTTGGCTAAGTAATTAAAGCCTACCTATTAAATACATACCTAATCAAATATTTTCGAAATCGGTGCCAGCCCATACAAAGCATAGCACACCGACTTCGAAAATATTTGATTAGGTATGTATAGTAAATGAAAAGTACCAATCAGTTATTTTTTACTTTTTAATGCTTTTGTTTGAAGTCGGTTTTTATTTTTTTGTTAAAAAGTTTTTATAATAAGTAAAACATGGACTATCGATTTTGCATCGTGAAAGTGTGTTTGTTTGTTTGTTTGTTTGTTTGTTTGTTTGTTTGTCTGTCCTTCATTCACGTTAAACGGAGTTACGGATTGGCGTGATTTTTGAGGTGGAGATAGTTAGAGGGCTGGAGAGTGGCATAAGCTGCTCTTTATTGCGGGAGATTATCTCATTCCTACGGGAAAACACGTTATAATACAACTCAATAAAATAATTCAATCATATATATATATATATATTGTGTGGAATAGCAAAAGAAAACTGCATGAAAACTCGAAAACACGCGTTTTCTCAGACAAAAGGCTAATCATCTAGATCGAGTTATCGCCCCCGAAACCCGATATAAATATATATCATATATAGACGTATACTCCTAACAAGAGCCTCATAGTAGTTAGGTCGGATATGTATCTCCGCTGGCCAGACAATCGGAAGATACTCGTAGTTAATTTTTCACATAGCCGACGTCGCGTTACACTGTATGCCGTATGTTGCTTAATTGAATATAACAGGATAGATATGCTTATATGATGTTTGGTATTAAATTGGTGCTTATTTGAGCTTCATGTAACATTTATTTCGTAGCTGTTTAAACATCGATAGGACTTTTATAGCAAAGAAAGATAAAACACTATCGCTAATGACTATGTTAATACAGAATTTAAGAAATACCTAGTCATTTTAAATTTGTTACCCGACTGCGGCGTAGCCCAAAGGATGCTTATGTGTTTTTTAACCTGTATGTACGTATGCACGTGTGTGTGTGTGTGATATGACACAAACACACACACACACACACACACACACACAATCACACGCACCTATGCACAAACATACACTGGCCCACACGTGTAACTTTCCTACCAACCTCCAAACCTCCAAATTAATATACTACAACTGTTATTAATTTCTTTAATCTGGAGAATGCTTCTTCCTCAAGAAATTTCCAACTATCTTACGAGTATATGAGTAATAAGAACATGAGAGAGTCTTAATGGACGAGATATGAAGAACCCAACATAAAATCGTTGTGTAGAGCAAGTTATTCTTATTCTTGATAATTTATTGAAATTTTAATCTAACGGAAGACTATTTTTAACGTTACTATATTTTTTATTTATGATATCGAATTTAATCTTCACACCTACTGGCCTCATAGACGTAAAGAATGGACTGAGCAATACTGTCATGAAATTGACCATTCTCTTAGAAAGAGAGAAAGCTAATGTGCGGCCAATAGGTTTAATTAGCTTTTATTCCAATTTGAATTATATATGGAATGTAACAAAATTATAACAGTGTGATAGAAAATAAATTATAAATTAAAAAAAAACCCCTACACAAATTGATATTTAACGATTACACTGACAGGCGTGAAGCATTTAGTCGAGTAATCATACGCCAAAATGACTTACATCATTCATCGATTCATCGTTTATGAATAGAAATCTAAAAAAAATGTATGGCCATCATATATTTTCCATAATATAGTTTAAATTTGTGATTTCAATACAATTATTAAAACTTTGATTCTCCAAGAAATGTAGAATTACATCTTGTGTAAGTTCCCCGGATTGAAAGCTTATACATATTTATTTACGATTACTCAATATTGCATAGCTTTAATCAAATTCTTCATTTTATCGGGTAATAAGCAATCCCACGATTTGAGATACAAAGTTTTCTAAGCTATGCCTCAGGCTAGGAAATTATATCTATATAAGCATTTCTGAAAACAGGTCAAACGAGCGTATTTGCATTATAAGCTGAAACTACGAACAAAGAAATGGAAAATAACGTTCAATTTATTTTACTTAACTTAGAAAAGAATTTGCGTACTTAAGAAAATTATGTATAGTGTTCAGGTATCGATAATCGTCGTTAATACCTATTTTATATACCTGTGTAGTGTTTACCTGTAATATAATTATGTATATACTCGTATATATACCTTAAATACTAATTAACATCTTTTCACGCTGAACAGGTTTTGATGAAAGACAAAGACATAAATTGCATTATTTGCATTAAGTATATTTTTTGATGATACGTTTGGCTCAGTTTGTAAAGCCCGTACTTGCCATGCCAGCGGTCGCTGGTTTGAGTCCCGCTAGGGCCATTCAGATGTGTGATGAGCACGAATGTTTGTACTCCAGTCATGGGTGTTTATATTTATAATATCTATGTATTTAAAGTATATATGCATCGTGTATCAACTATCTGGTGTCTTACCATGAAACTAGATGGTGCTGTGTGTTAATGTCCCAACATATTTATTTATTTATCCTCACTAACTAAAACGAAAATAACTATACATTCATAAGTTATTTATTGGAACAGCGTTACCACCGTCTTATATAATTGTGTACGCATCCAAGGAAATACTTGAAACCATATAATATATTGTATTCTTTCTTATTATGGGCTATTATAATATATTATGTAAAAGGGTATGTTACTTTCCTTGCTTCATCACTTTTTCAACACAGATACAATATGGTGCGGTTATTTAATTTGTTTTCCCCATCGGTTTTCCTCATATTGGTAGGACGACGTAAATATGTTACTATTTTTGCGAGCACAAATCACACGGGGTTTCTTGATGACAAGGAAAGCGATGTTCCTATTCATTCAGTACGGTATTTTAATGGCGTCACTTAATAGGAGTTTAATTCGTTTATAGACTATATACTAGCAGAACCCGCGGCTTCGCTCGCGCTAAAACTACAAAAAAACTCTAAAATGCTTCATACAAACTTTCACCCCCCATTTTACCCTCTTATGAGATGAATTTTGAAAAATGCTAAAACACGTATTTAATTAATTGTATTAATACTCAGTTTCAAGTAATTTTGATCATAAATATTTTTTTGCATTATATTATAACGTATTTTCCTGTGGGAATTAGATAATCTCCCTCGGTGAAAAGTAGCCTATGTGACTCTCTAGCCCTTCAACTATCTCCACACAAAAAATCAGACCAATCCGACCCTGTATCGACGTGAAAGAAGGACAAACAAACACACTATCACAGTTATGGTATTATACATTTTGAACTATATTTTAAATTTTATTATATTTTAATATACTCTTACTTTCAATGTACATACAGTAAAAATAATATACATTAACGTAGGTACCACACGTTTATTAATATTATTTTTGATTCGTAGATGTTATCCAAAAACAACCGCAGAAATATATTAAGATAAACCTATGTACCTATGTACATTGTAAAATGTACATTGTACGTATTTCTATGGGTTACACCGCCGCGCCGGGCCTACATTGTCATAGAACGTGCCCGTTCGAAATTTAGTAGGATTGTGTGAGAGGATCAAATACATTTATCTATTCTAAATAATATTGAGAGTTTTTAACCAGTCTGTACTAGTTCTAGACGTACTCGTATTGTCTACCATTTTCTAACACTTAATATCTCAAATGCTTAATATGGAAATTAATTGTAATAGTTCTGGTTCGAAAAAAAAGTCTGTGTGTGTGTACTTACGTACGTAAAATGTTATAATTCTTTGTTTTTTAGAGCATTGAAATAAAAAGTTTGCTTTTTTAAATGTTTAAACTTTTTTAAAATATTTTTGACTATTTTTCGTGTTCCTCTAAGCAAACCCTTTCATTTGATGTCCATATCATGGGATGCGTAAAGAACAGTCCACCAATCTTTGGGAGTCCGCCATTTTGGATTTACAATGACTTCACTTTGCTTATTGTGTTTTCTCATCAAGCCAATCCATTTCATGCCCATATCATAAGGGTCACTATGAAAATGATAAATAGCCATTTTGTAAGTCACGAGAACCAAACGTGTTGTGTATATAGAAATACCAGAATATAATAATATCTTGAATATAGACATCACACTATACTAAAGGGAGATTTAACGAAAAACTTCATACTGTAGTCTATATCTGTCGCATCGTAAAA